CCCCAAAACCCCAAAACCCCAAAACCCCATTACTGTTTGATATCAAAGCGAGTAACTATTTATATTAATAATAATTAAAGCAATCTATATCACTGTTTGATTATTATGATTGGCTAAAAAATTAAGCAGTATCCGTGTGCTTTCCTGTTTACTTAGTTGAGCTTATTGGCATAAAAATTAATTTTAATCTTCAGCTCTTAGTCCTATTAATTAGATTCTTAAGATCTCTTTATTATCAGTTCAGTCATCTGTAGTGCATTAAACTGCTTTTCATCAATTACCCTATAACTATTAATCTTGATAATCTTACTCTTTGAAAGCATTAAACAAGTGATTATTATTTGCAGTAAGTAACTCAGTAATATGCTTACCCACAGCTATTTCCGGTGTAGTGTTAAATAATATTTATGATGACTTATTTACTTTAGTTACAATCCCTGTAGTGTTCAATATTATAACTCCATCATTTATCAAGTTAAATTATGCTTCAAGCACATCCTAAGTCAAGTACACTCCTTATTATAAGTCAAGAGTGAAAAGTACTGAGGATAAGAAGTTAGAGAAACTCCATAGTATCCCTTCTTCAATTTTAGTATTTTCGTAATTATATATTTACATCACTGCAATTGGTGTGTTGTTTTATTTTTCCAGGATAGGTATTGCCATCACATTTTAAATAGCTTAGAGTTTTAACTTTCCAAGATCTTTCTCATCCTAAGTAAGATATTTAGAGTCTGAGGCTTAGTTTTCAGTTTTTATAGTCATAGAAGTGAAAGCTTTCCCTGCTAGCCCCAGATTCGATTTCATTCTTATTGTATCAATTCTAAATGTACTTTAGAACTGGTTATTTTATGATTAATTCTCAGAAGTTAAAGCTAATGAGTAGAGATGGTCTATATCCCTGTTGTGCAAAAACATGACTACTCTCTCAGCTTAGAGCAAACTTCTAATCATTTCACTAAGATCATTTACAATTGGAATTAGAATTTATTGATAAGTTTCACCCATTAATCCCTTTACTTACTTTAACTCCTCATCAAATTCTTTTTTTATGTTAAACTTCATTTCGTAAGAAATGAGTCCTCTTGCTATTTCATCACAGATTTATTGAATAATAGATTAATCATGGTCAGTGAATTCTTAAGTACCTTTTTTATTGGCTAGTTCAATGCAACCAACAGCATTGTTTCCTAGTTTTATTGGTATAATCATTAAATTTCTGGTTACTTGATGAAGTTTTAAGTCTATTTAGTTGTAATCTCCGAGATTATCCCTAATATCTTCTATTTAAGCATTCTTAATGAAAATTGGATCACCTCTGTTGAATACATCGCATAAAATATTATGACTCATTCTGCTAAAACTTATAGGATCTTTCATCCTTCCAGTTATTACTTTGCAATAAATCTCATCTTTAATTCTATCATAAAGATAAATACTACAGCGCTCAATATCCAGAAGGTCTGCTATCATTTCTACTAGTCTTGGCAAGTAAAATTCAACTGAACTGTTTTAGCCTATATTTTTTGCTATGTAAAAGAGAGTGAGTGTATCTTGGAGAGCAAGCCTAGTTTTTAAAAAGAAATTGTCTTTGGATGTGGCGTTCCCCATAAGTTGAGCCATAAAGGATATCATATTTTCTTTCATCATCTAGGTGTCAAGTAGGTTCTGGACAAACTCGCAATTAGCATATTCTATGTATTAGGAATCATTTTATAGCAAGAAATTTTTGAATATTCCAACTTCTTGAAGGTTGCTGGCTTAAGGCAGATTTACATTTTGGCCTAATAGCAGATTTTTCTTTTTAATTGATTTTCGAATTTACATGGGTGAACCTTACCTCTACTCCTCAAGATTTTACTTACTCCTTCTACTAGAAATGCTTTGTCTTTTATGCTATTATCCCATTCCAAAGAGACCCTACCTACCAGTACTACTTGAATAATGAGTTTAGCCGGCTTAATCATCTTCGTAAACATCTTGCAGTAGTTTCTTTTTTCTTTTTGGAATGGCAACAGATTTATCTCTTCCTCTACCTGATGTTTTATTTCTATGATTTTCTGATACCTCTTTAATTAAGTTACTATCAACCAAGTCTAGTGATTTCATAATTATTTAGCCTGCATTATTACTATGATTAGCACTAATATTGCTTATATTATTGCTTTGAGTTTAGTTGCTAAGATGGTAGCTTGGCTATCTCATCTCGTTTTATAGTTAAATCATAGTCTAGTCTAGTTAATCAAAACCACTTTCACTGTAGCTTTCATTCAAGAATTTACTATGCAGTTTTAAAAATCCTTTTACTGCATCTTGCAGAGTCTGGTCCAAAACTTTATTCTAAGATGAAATATCCTATATTCTAATAAGGATATTTAATGCCTCAATAATTATTGTTTTCAATTGAGGGACGATTTGATGGTCTGAATTTTTAGAGCTCTGCAGCTTTTACAATCTTATTCCATCATGATTTCTATTATCAATCCGAATTTTCCTCACTCCTCCTTTGCTTGCAGATAGAATTGCAGTATTATTAAGAAGATTCTAGTTTTAAATTTGACTTGATAGTGCTGAATCATTAATTTCAGTTGAAATTTGATCATACTGCAATTTTTACGAATTAAAAACCTCTTGCTCATAATTAAATTTTTCAGATCTAAGCCTTTTATTTGAATCCCTTGAATTTTTCAGCTTTAAATTTGCTAGAGTTTTGTTGAGCTTTTATTATTTCTTCTAAATTTCAGGGAGCATTTGCGACATCGGGTCCTTTATGTTTTAAGAAATATTCATGTTTGTTACGATTTAAATAATTTAAGTAATTGATTGAATTGATCCTGCTTATAGAGACTTAAAGACAAGGGGTTTTGGGGTTTTGGGGTTTTGGGG